TTCTGTCACTCTTCTTGTGACAAATGGTACTTTTATTTTCTAGCTTTCCCTTTCATTTGTGCTTTGTCTAATCATTAAAATGCTAAGTGCGTTTGAAAGTCGTACATTGAGAACAATCATCAAACATTTATTGAGCATCTACAACATGCCAGGCACTGTCTGGGCTCTGGAGATACAGTGAACAAAAGATACAAAATTTCTTACCCTACTGGAATTTACATTCCAGCTTAAGATGGACTCAAGGTAAGAAAAATATAAACTGAAAGAGGCAACCTTGATATATGATGGGAAACACAGAAAACGATATTTCTCAAACCATGCCTATGAGCCAAATGGCTATAAAACAGAAACATCTGGGACACATTCACAATTCAGACTTCTGGTCCCTTCTGGAACCCGATCACTTTCTGGGAGTAGGACCCAGAAATATGCATTTTTTTAACAACTTCCCTCAAGTGGAGTGATTCTGACAAACACTAAAGTTCGAGACCCCCTTTCGGAAGACATATCCTAAAGGAGTGGCAGAATTTGAGTTGGCCTTAAAGCATGCTAAATTTCAGAGGAAAAGTTGCTGATAATACTAACACCCAATAATCTAAAACGATTTATAAACCTTGACATCAAAATTATGTAATTAATTCAAGGCAAAAAAAAAAAAAAAGAAAGAAAGAAGGAAAAAGAAGAAAAAAATATGAAAGCAATGGGTTAAAACAAAAAGAAAAAGAAAAATAGACAGACGCACAAGTAGCTAATTGTCCTGATTTTCAGATCCAAAATATATTGTTCTCTGGCTCTTTCTCTTCTGTTTAAGTTCCATGAGTTTCTGTGAGCTGGGGAAGGACAATGCCTGGCCTCTCGTAGTAAATCACTGCTTTTCTCATCGTTAAGCCTGGACTGAGAGTTACTTCCTGTTCTTGGAAGCAGTGCATAGAAAGAAATGCTCAAAGAGAGGAAAGGGAAATATGCTTCCCTTCCTGAGAAAGTGGGGTCAGAAGAGAAGTGGGCTCCCTTCTGATTTCCTATCCCATTCCACAAGCAAAGTGGAGCATGGAGAATGAGACAGAAAATGTTGACAGTACTGACTCCTAACTTTACAAAAGAAAACCTACTGTTAAAGCATCAGTTTCAAAGAAACACATCAAAAGGAAGGGGAAATTAGAAGGAATGAGATCCTAAGGTTCTTCATGTATAAACATAAGAAATTGTCTTGAACTGAATCCCTTAGGCAGAATTCTCAAATTTTGGTTAGAATCACCTGGGGAGCTTTTACAAAACCCTAAGCTCTGACCAATTAAATCAGAATCTCCTCGGGATTTCTGAGTGTGCTCAGCACTAAGAATCATGGCTCTATGGGCCATAATTGCAGGAGCAACATGCGGACCAACTCTCTGCGTTGGAGCTAAAGAAGGTCTCTGCTTTCAGAAATCTAAACTGAATGTTTCCAAACAACCGCATAGATAGCAATAATTGTCACAGATTTCACCATACAATTTCGTTAACAATTCATCTAATTTATTAGTTGCATTTGAGAATATAAAACTCATCTGTTATGTGAGTCACGAATGAGTCTATGAATAATATACTGTCTACAAATAAATGAGTCTACGAATAATATACTGTCACAGAATATAAATTTTTCTAGTTTCCTAAGACAAAACATTTGCTCAAAGAAATGCCAACTATGATCTATCAGAAGGAGACCTAATTATTACTGATTGTGAAATGGAAGGAAATGAAAATTTTGATTTTTATTTTTCAGTGCAGTGGAAAGAAAAACCCAGATCCCTGACATACTAAAGCTGATTATGAAAATGCCAAGGTGACAGCATTCACAGGCACATGAAAGTGCTGGTCCAGCTGCTAAATGTAATATGGTTTTAAAAGCCTATAATAGTGATCTGGAAATGTCCTTTTGTGGCTTCTTCACAGTGGTATTTCGTTTTTATCTAATTTTTCTATATGAAGGACAAAGGAAAGCATGAGACCTTCCTGCTCATCAGCAGCACAGATGTTTCAAGGTCTTGATGTTGGAAATTAAGTTATCACAGCCTGAGTCCATGCTATATTTAGTGAGGCCAGATCATGTTTAAATGCCACTTTATTGGGATATCAGCCTGGACTTAGAAATCATGAGATAAGATTCTAGCTTGTAACCGTCCCACAAACTACTGTCATTGTGGGCTAGCTGGTGGGGATTTTGACATCCTATGGTCATGGCCACAGTGAGAGACCCTCCTTCACAGGCCCAAAATAGATGAAAGGAAGCTGATGTTGAGCTTCCAGAAAGGTCCAGGAGAAGTAAGCCTTCAGGGAAGGATTTAGCAAACATTGGCATCTGCTCCAGAGATTTGATTCTTCCTCCCACAGGCAGTGACTCAGAGATAAAAGCTGAGGATAAAGTCGTGGCCCAGTGAGCCAGAGTTTACAGAAAGAAAATAGAAAGGAGCTAAGGCTAATTTTATGTTTACATTGACTGCATCTTTTGAAGACACACATGTTAACGGAGAGGAGCCATCCTCAACGGAGAGCTCTGGCCTGAGGCCACTGGTGACCCTTTAGGGAAATCTCAAGAGAAAAATTAAAGACCATGAGTCCCTCTCAGGGAGAACTCAGAAAATTGATGTTCAAGCCTTCTGCACCAGGAATATCTACCGTCTAGACTTCCCGTAAGAGCTGGAAAAAGCTGCTTTGATGAATCATGCTAAGACATTCCAGTCTTTCTCCCCTTTTGTCCATTCAGGGTGTTTTTCTGAAGCCTCACATTTTCGCCCCTTTTGTTCAATCAAAAACATGACTTAGATCTTTCATATACACAGAAATATGAGGTACAGCCCACAAAAAATATTTTTATGTATCTCCATAAATTACTAATAGCTGCCTGGAATGTTCCCCTTCCTTAGGGTATTTGCATTACAAGCAAAGCCCTAAAGAGTGTGCACTCTGTTTTTAAAAAGTCAGGAATCAGACAGACAGAAAGTAGGCAGGTTGTGGAGTGGTCCCAGGCAACTGAGGGTTTCTCTGAAATTCTAATGCTAAGACTGATGGAGTGGAGTAAGCTGAACCCCACATTGCTGTTGTAGCAAGCGGTGAAGAGGTTCCAGGTATCTCACGCCCATGATGAACATGCCCACTTTTAGCCATGTGATAAGAGATGTGATAAGCCCCATGACCAGCTTTTACTTTGCTCCTTGCTAACTAGCACTATTCTACTCCAGAACTGTTCGGCCTTATCCCAAGTCCATAACCTCCAACCATTTTTGTGCAGCGTGCTATCGGTAGAAAATTACTGAGCAAGCAACCCCAAGATCCACATGCTTATTTTTAAAGAATATATGGGCAAATACATTACTACCTAAAACTCAAGAATGAATATTTGGTGGAGTATCACTCAATGATACTAGATGCCCATCCATAGTCCAAATAGTGTCCTAGAGAACTTTGAATGCACTTGACTCTCATTTGCTCTTCTATCCGTTTTGTCATTCAGCAAATATTCATTGAACACCTACTAAGTGCAAGCACAAAATATGAAAAGATGGCTGAGGTGTTGTCCTTCCCCTGGGAGAGTATTATGTTTAATCTGGTTGCCATCCACCTCCCATCTGTCGTCTTTTTCACTACATCCTAAAACTCTTTAAGACAACATGTATGTTTCCAGGTAGTAAGAGTTAAGTATTTCATTTTCCAGCCTAGAAAATCGCTTTATTTTGATTAAGCCAATATAAGGCAGGTGAGCACAAAAATGAAGTACTGATTTCTGTAACTGTGCAGGGTCAGTGCCATCAGAGCTGGGAGAAGAAACATACAGCGAGTTAATAGAGGATCTCTATGAGACAATTTCTCAGTAATTGAAATGAATTAGCAAATTCAAACTGGAAAGAAATAAGCATTCCAGTTTCTGACATCTCTAAAGTCTGAGCAAATGCAGAAAGAACAGAGTAAGAAAATAATCCTAGAAGGAAACACTGAGAAATAGTAACTGAACCACAATCATCAACCTTTTAACAAATATTGCTTTCTTCCTTGTAAAATGATACCAGATTCCCAGCCTATTCTTTCTCCCAGTGCTCCAAATAAATATCAGTTCTATGTTCTCCTGGCATCAAAATGCAGAAGGGCTCTGGGTAGAGAGAGCACTGGACTCCTACTCCCAGTGTTTCATCTCTCCAGCCCACAATGTTTTCATATGTAAATGCTCACTTCACAGGGTTGTGACAGAATTGGATGAGGTTACATGTGTTTAAATACTTCCTGCAGTTTCTGGTTCTTATTAACTGTTACTTTCCTTAAAACACATCTGACTAAGGAGTTGCAGAGACCTTCACACTGGACTTCACCATACACTTCCATGAAGAGAAGGATCTATCATGATTTCCTCTTCCTCCCTCCCCTCCAAGCCTGCAAATCACTTGCAGTCCACAACTTTCTATGTTACGACCAAGCTGGCAACAATAACCAGGTGACAAAATGAGGGTGTTTCTTCAATCTTTCCTGTTCCTGTTGCTATGGAAAGCCAGCCTTTCTAGCTTGATCTTACCATGGAGGGGGAGGGGATGCCACTCAAGATGATGGAATAGGAAACGAATAGGTGGCCCTACCTAAAAGTTTAGCACCTGATTTATTTGATTGAGAAATAGTTTGTGACAGAGATAGAAGGGACTGGGAACCATGTTATACAGTCCCATTACAGAGGGTCTAACACAGAGGAAAGCAGACCTGAGGAAACACTGAGCAACCAAAACACTGACTCTTGAAAGAAGAATTGACGTCATTCCATCTAGTCCCATGCAATTAGTGAATGACAACTGGTGTAAAGGAAATCTCAGTTCAGTTGAAGGAAGTCTCTAATAATCTGAAATGTCCAAAAGGAAATAGGCTGTCCTGGAAAACAGTCTCCTGACATGAGTGATCTTCATACATAGCCTTGACTTTGGAAGAGTGAATGAGATGACTTTGAGGACCCTCTGTGATACGTGAATCTTAACTCTGTTTTATTTTAGTTTCTAGATGTCGTGCGGCTGGTTCATCAGAAGTCCTGGAAAGTGGGCGATATCTTTCATGCAGTTGTCCAATACTGCAAAATGCATGAGGAACGGAAGGATGGGACCCTGAGTCTCTTTGACTGGCTCTTAGAACTGGGATAAGGCAGCTTCACCCCATAGAGATTCCTTTCCTTTATTCTGGCTTAGATTACAGTGGTTTACTATAAATGCTCTAAACTTTCTCAAAACATTGCATCACATTAGCAGAGCTATAAAAAATCTGCTGCTGAAGTCCACTGCACATGGAATAAATCTGAGGAAAAGCCAAATACAGGTCTCTACAAATTAATACAATCTGTGGGTAGGTTCAAAAAAGCTTGTATTAGAATACCTGGTTAAAGAGAAACTTTAATGAGGTCCTAGTTAGAACTAGGCCCAAACTGCAAGAAAGCTGCACTCACATATTTTTAATAATGTGAAATGATATGTAATGTCTCTAATTATGTGAATCCACTGCAAACAAACTCATTCATCAAAATAATTTTATAAACTATGCTGTAACCTTTATTTTACTTTTCTTAGCAGATTAAGGGCTGCCAGCCCAGGGAAATATATAAGATATGAGTGAGAGATTTCCAGGTCTTTATATAAAAGATTTCCACTTTCAGACCAGTATCAGTGGATATTAACAGAAGTGAACAAGTATACCAGTGTCCTCAACTGAGGTGATTTCATTTTTTCACTGCAGCCCAGTGATAAATATCCCACTTCTCCCCAACAATATGTGAGCTGCTAGCTAACCAGAAAACTTTCGACATTCAGCTGAGAGAGAGGAAGATTGAAAACTGTCTTCTTTCCGTCACTATATTACTTGAGTAACATGATTACAGAATTCTTATCCTAAGGGAAAGCTTTCTTACTAAAAAGAAAAAAAAAAAGAGTCTTTTGAGATAAAATCTGCTTGTGTATTGAATTACATGAAATAAAAACTTTCATTTATTTTATTGTAAATTATGAAAAGATTGTTATCTTAAATAATATACTGAGTTAGCTTAGAGGTTCATAAAACATGAAGAGATTGTTGTCTTAAGTCATATACTGACACTGAGCTCAGTGGCTCGTTTCATCATGAACGTGTTGGTACCCATAGGCAGACATGCTACTCCTATGACATTTATAATGAGGGAAACAGGGTAATAGTCTTGTGTTTTACATGACCAGTTAGGATCATAGACTCAAAGATATTGGCATTGAATTTGGGGGGCTGGGGTGGGGAAGACTTTATCACATTATAAGTATTTTAATAACAAAGACTTATTCTTTTGAAAATAAAGGTATCCAATGTCTCCCTAAATAAGTCTTTTCCTTTGAACTAAATGAGCTACACTCACTTTCATTTTCTTGATCAAAGAGGTGTTTACTAAGGATTTTTTGAAACACCATACTACTCTCTTTTTAAAGATCGCAAGGTAATTTTTCATGTGAACAAGACCCAACACCATCAATTTGGTCTTACTTTGTCATCCACATCTTGAAATGCCAAGAAAGCTTTTTTATAAGCCATACTTCCTTCCCCTCCACCCACCCTTTCCCAGTGCTCATTAGCCATTAATTATACAAATAGTCCAAATTTAGGTTATATGCTTAATTTGACACATTAAACAAACGTCAAATTTTAAAATATATCCATCATCTCAAATTGAAATGTGCTTCTTCGTGCTACTAAGTGGAAAAGGATACATTTAATTTTAAGCAGTCCCAGAATATTGTGTGTAGACTTTTGTTCTGCTCAAATAAATGTTTACTTATCCTACAAAGCACAAATACTGGATTATAATCATGTGATGACTTTATATATGTTGCATCTAATGTTGCAAACTAATCAATAAATTTCTGTGGCCAAATTGTTGATCATTCTTTCTTCAAGAGCTTTAAGCAACTCCTAAGAAGAAAATACAAGGTATGATTAGATGAAAGTAGATATATCTCTTAGACAAGTTTTGCTGTCCTGCTTTCAATTTTTGAATAAGTAAATGTTCTTCGACTAATTTGTTAAAATCAGTAATACTGATGTAAATCAATGTCTCTCAACCTTGGCACTGCATATTGACATTTGGAAACAGATAATTCTTTGTTGCTGGGGGCTGTCTTGTGTATCACAGGCTGTTTAGCAGCATGCCTGGCTTCTGCTCACTAGATGACAGTAACTGCCTCCTCCCAGTTGTGACAACCAGAAATGTCTCCCAACATAACCAAATGTCCCCTAGGAGACAAAATCACCAGTGGCTGAGACCCACTCATGTAAACAATGTACTGAAGGGGCAGGGTCTGAGGCTGTATGAGGTGCTAGTAAAGAAAGAGGATCCTCTGGCCTGTAGAAGCCTGAATAACAGGCATTTCTCTACCCAAGGCCCATAGAGTGTGGCCTTTCCATTAAGTCTAGGAAATAGAAGAAAGGGACACAAGACAAACAGTCTACAGGTCTAGGGATAAACCAACCTAGACTCAAGTAAACTAGAAGCAAACTCATTAGGGTTATAGTAAATGTATCAATGCTCTTTGAATTCAGGAAATAAATTATTAGAACTTATGAAAATAAGGCATTGAGAATCATGGACACTTTATTTTATTCACTAATAAAGATGCAAGAACATGCTTATATAATGAAGAATTCTCCAGTGACCCAGAGTGTACTTTCAAATAAAAACGTACTCTGGACATTGGTAAGGAGAGCCTTTATTTGAAAGGATTATTGCAAAAGGGAGAAAAATAACTATTTCAATGGATGATGGGGACTATTGCAAGAGTAAGAACGTTCCAACCATGAGATCTGCAAGTGTCTCAAGGATTAGCAAAAAAGGGTTTTCTTTTATACAGAGAAGTAAATGAGGCTAGAAAGAAACAGGCATGGAGAAATGGGATGGGCAGGATGAAGCAGTGAGGTGGAATGCCCAGATGGTAGATCAGAGAGTGCTTTGTACTGAGCTCAGCCTATTCTCAGGGGGGGCCTTTTAAGGAGGGGCTATAAGCTGGATCGCACAGAGAACAGGTTAAAGTTTAGGGCCCCAAGGAAAGGAGAGAAGCTTAATTAAATTCCGGTTAACAAGCATTTTGTTCCAGTTCATCAGTGGGTACAATTTGGCTAATCATATATGAGGCAAAAAATAGGAATTTGGAGGATCCATGTCTGGTCTTGTCAGAGGTAAACAAGGGGGGCACCTGTGATATAGGAAAGTCATATGGGGAAGGATGGTTCCTTGTGGTAAGGCATTTCTGGAACACAAAAGGTTGGGAGTATTTCTCTAACCATGGCTGTTTACCAGCATCACAGGGCTTGGGTAAAGTTCACATTGTCAGTACCAAAGAGTCAACAAAGGGTCTTGATGAAACCATCATCCTTGGCATCTCCCTGGAGCCTCTCTTTTTTTCATAGTATAGGTGTATGTCCTTTCATTTAATAAGCACTCTTTTAGTAACAACTGGGTGTTGGGCACTATGCTAGATGGGTGGAATGAAGATCCCAATCACGCTCAGCCTGACACGTAAGAGTTCACAGACTACAGGGGACGTAGACACATGGAAACTGTAGTGGATTGAATTATGTCCCCCCAAAACTCCCTGAAGCTTGAATTGTGTTCCCCAAGTTTTATGTGTTAGAAACTTAGCCACCACTGTGACTGTTAAGATGGTGGGAAATCCCATTATGGTAATTGAAAAGTGGAGCCTTGAAGAGGTGATTAGGTTGTAGGACCATGCAGTAGTGAATGGACTAAAAATGGTGATCAGGGGCGTGGTTCTGAGGGCTTTAAAATAAGAGGAGAGTCTGTCTCTCTTTCTCTCTGCTCTCTCTGTTTCCACCATCTTGCAATGTGAGACCCCTGGGTCACTGTTGCCACCACCAGATGGACTTTGGACTTCCCAGCCTCAGAAACCATAAGCAATAAATTTCATTTTCTTTATAAATTACCCAGTTCCAAGTATTTTGTTATAAGCAACATAAACAGACTAATACAGAAACCAACCTCACAAAACTATATAATGATTGCTATAGTGAATCTCTACATGGACTGGCATAGGAAAGAGCTTTGAGAATGCAGTGTTTATTGTTTCCTGGTAACGTACGGGGCCACTTCAGAGAAAAAGCATTTAAGATCAGGTTTGGGGTATGTAGGAGTCATTTAAACAAATGGAGGGTAGGAACTCTTAAGAGCTGAAGAGAAGACATTCAGAGCAAAAAGATTATGAGCCATAACTGGACACGCAGTCTGAGACACAGCCGGGCATATGGTGTAACAGCAACACAGGTGTGAACTGATGGGGGTGCTGGACATGATGCTGCAAATAGAAACTGAAGCCACATTTAAGAGGCTTCTCTCCATACCACAGAGTCAAAAATGTATTCTTTAAGCACAAGTCCTTAAGTCAAAGGAATTGCAAAATCAGCTGTGCATGTTAAGAGAAATAACATTTGTGAATACATGTGACCCACTGAGTTATATCTTATGCTTGGGATGATGCCATGAAAAATTACTTTTTTCATGGCTAAAGGGATCCCCACAGCTCTATGATTTGTTCTCCCCTTATAGCACTGTGCATCAGAGGTCCCCAAGACAAACCTCAGGCTCAGTGATGTTCTAGAAGGATTCACAGGACTCAGAAGCTGTCTATTCACAGTTATGATTTATTGCAGCAAAGGGCTGAATTAAGATCAGCAAAGGGAAAAGGCACATAGGGCAAAGTCTGGGAGAAATCAGTGCAAGCTTCCAGGTGTCCCCTCCCAGTGGAGTTGCACAGGATGCACTTCATTCTCCAGCAACAATATGTGACAACACATGGCAGGTGTTGCCAACCAGGGAAGCTCATCCAAGCCTTGATGTCCAGGTTTTTTATTGAGGGTCAGTCACGAAGTCATGCTGAACACACGTGACTGATCTCAGCTAGTCATACTCCTTCCCCCACTCAAGGTTAAAAATAGGGGTTTACAATAAATCATATTATTAGCATAAATTATCTGGTTGAACTGGTATGCAAGACCCAAGGTCTCAGACATACAAAAACATTCTCAATGGACAGAACATTCAAGGTCTCAGCACTTAACTCCTAGGAGCCAGGAAAGAACAGTCCTGAAAATAGGCCTCTTTTGGGAGTGTGCAGGGTTTGAGCAACCCAGGCCTCCTGCATTAATCCTTTCCTGCATAAGCATGTATCACCATCTTCCTTCTAGCATGATAAGTTGAATTCATGTGTTTCCATTGCTGATTGTAAGTTCATTGAAGATGGAACCACATTTTATTTATCTGTGGATTCTGCATAGTTCCTAGCACAATGTCTTTTCCATAGTAGATATCAGATTGAGCTAGAAAAGCTAATAGCCCTAGGGAAACTGAGATTTTGGTTACATCTAATAATGTTCAACCATTAATTCTAAAAACAGTTTTATTTTGATGTTCTTCTTAGTTGAGCAGAGACTGCTACCTGGTATATAAAGCTGCTCAGGATTTCTTATGAATTACTTTTGGATTCGGGCAAGTAAAACTTTCTACAAACTTTCAACCTAAAATATTTTAGATTCCACAAAACTGAGAACATTTTAGAGGTTCAGGGATGAATGTAAGTGATATTCAGTGCATTATCAGTAGGACTTTTAAGCCATTCGAGTGCAGATAGATTTGCACAAAATGAACGGGGGTGAGGGGGTGGGAATCATTTGAGCCCCCTGGTTGGGCAAAGGCATAAAGAAACATCACGATTTGTAAGAATAAATATGCTAATAATAAATGAAATTTTTTAAAAAAATTGATGCAGAAAAAGTGCTTAAATAATTGTACACAACCAAAAGAAATATTAATCCACTTTTCTTGTTGCAAAGACCCCTTGGCCATCTAAATCTTTCCTGAAGTCTCCGTAAAAATGCCCCTCCTTGAAGTTTTTTACTCTGCCTCAAATTCCTTTTTTCAGTTTTCATAGCTCCTTCTCTTGTGCAAAAAGAAGGGAAGCCCTTCCATTCTTTGGAGATGATCTTTTATTAAACACTTATCAGCCTGTTCATTGACCTCTATCCCATTTATGACTTTATTCTTCACTCTGTTTCCAGCCAAGAATGTGCCAGAATTGTTCAGCTCTAGATTCTACCACTCTGAGCACACAAAACCAAGGTGCAAAGATTGTTTTATGGCTAGTTGTATTGAACACCTGGCCCAAATCTTTATACACACACAACATATCTCTCTCTTC